TCCAACTTGTGCTCATTATGGCTTAGGGTTTGAGGTTTTAGAGTCTATGGCTTAGAGTTCAGGGGTTTAGGGTTTGGGGCTTGGGGTTTAGAGTTCAGGGTTTAGAGTTTGGGGTTTGGGGTTTAGGGTTTGGAGTTTGGGGTTTGGGTTTTGGGGTGATGCTTCTTCTAAGTGCTATTGGCGATTATCACTCTAACTATTGCTTATTTGTTACTTGTACTACCAGGACAAGTTCGAGTATTCACTACATTATTACTTCTACTCCAGCTATTATGTGATTAAAACTTTAAGCCCCGAACCCTACACCTTAAACCCTACACCTTGAACCCAAAAACCTAAACCCTTATCCCCAAACTCTAAATCCTAAACCCCAAACCCTACATCGTAAACACAACCCTTATCCCTAAATCCTAAGCCCCAAAGCCTAAATCCTAGACCCCTTAAACCCTAAACCCCAACCCGTAAATCCTACACCTTAAGCCCGAAACCGCTAAAGCCCTGTCAGGTGCGCCCAGAGCATCTTCAAGCGGATGCCCCGTGGCCACCCTCAGTGCTTGCCCTGAAGCTTGCCTGGCAAGGGTTAAGGTTATTGGGGTTTAGGGTTTAGGATTTAGGGTTTTGGGTTTTGGGGTTAGGGTTTTGGGGAGTCTACCTGCGCAGGGCTGAGTATCCATGCGCCGATGTATCCTTGCGCCGATGGCGCCACACCACTTCCAGGGATCTGTGTGTGACATCCTGCGCCCAGCGAACCTCGTGGATGTTGCCCAAGAAGCCATCGAAGCTGGGCTTTCTTCCCGCTGTGAGACATCACAGGCTACCTCTCAAATTACTTCCTGTTAGGGTTGAGGGCTACGCCTTCAGTTCCCACCGCAAATCAGACCGTCTTCTTGCTTTTGTCGCCTAGCTGCAGGCGGACCTCCAGGGGCCTCCAGGGGGGGCTCTCCAGGGCCTTGCAGGCCTCCACAACGTTCCAGTCCAGGGGCATGGGTGGCCTTATTTGTTCCCCCAAGTATTTGCCGCACCAGGAGCCAGGACATTTCTGGGAGGGGTTTAGGGTATTCCCATCAAGCGGAAAATCAATGTACATTGTAGATTGTAGAGATTTGGTTCACAATGGTGGCTGGAGGCAGGGCTGTGCCTCCCGATGTACGGGAGCAGCCTGGAGGGTCTCTATACGAGCATTCTCCACAGGCTCCTCCCATTGTCTTACCCAGTACGGGTGTAAAGGCTGACGTGTTTCTTCAGTGTCTGACCACCCTAATAATGGGTGGGAACGGCCTAAGCAGGCCGGGTGAGAATTTAGGATTTAGGGTTTTGGGGTGTGGGGTTTAGGGTTTAAGATTTAGGGTTTAGGGTGTAGGGGTAACACCCCCTGTAATGAAGGATCAAATCGTCAAGAAAACGGAACATGAAATGGAAATTAGGTTTACATAGGGCGTCGTATGCATTGTCATGTAGAGGGACCGTTTGTATTAGAAAAAGTCTCGGGGGCAGATTGTACCGTAGTGACATAAGATTCACGGGGGCAAGATGCTGGTACCCCAATCAGGCTTCTACAGAAGCCTCCCTTTGAATGATTCTCTCCCCTTGCAATACCCCCCCTTAGAACAACAATCATAAACGCCACATAGAATTAAAGATATTCATTATTAGGGGGCCGGGTGTCAGCAGGACGGCGGGATTAGCATGGAAGCCCATACCGTTCCTCTGTACATGACCCTGAACCCTAAACCCTAATTTTGTAAAGCTTCTTCCGGGAGGGGTATGTTTCTTTGGCGAAGATAGAGCCGTTGATGGAAAGATTCCTGCGTGACCCCGAAGCAGCAGAGTACAATAATCCCAAGGTCTTGGCATATAATTAGGAAGAACAGCATATGGAGCCTTTGCAGTCTTAGCAGGCCTACACATTTCAGAGACACTTGTTGTGAGAGCAGAGTAGTACTGAGCCAAAAGGGCTACCGTACTGCTGGCATAGATTTATGTCTATTTCCAAATCAAAATTTCTCCGTGGTAAGAATAGTGAAGCTAAAGCTCGGACTAGTCTCGCACTGGTGGCTAAGCATGAGTTTCTTACCATGCGTGGTAGCAACGGTAGAAAGCTGCCCCGGAATTCTTGGCCCTTCAAGAGATAATCACATAGGGGCGTGTCCATGCATTGTAAGGTCCATTGCTTGGCATCCTCATATCTTGAACCCTGTGCTGGGAGTCTTCTTGTTCCCCCCCTCGTTTCTTACGATTCGCCAACAAACCCCAAACCCTGAACCCATAAACCGCAAACCTCAAACCCAGGAAACATGCACTGCGACGACTATGTGGGCACCCAAGATTCAAGCAGCGGATACTGTGCGATGGCACCATATTGGAGGACACGCAGGCGCTTGGCCACTTGATGCGCTTACACTTGGCCTCCATCAACCTTCAATAGCTGCAGTGTGGTCACCTTGGTCATTGTAATATGCCTCATTGCTGTAGCTTGCCGTTGTTATGGTTGCACCACTATTCTAGTGCATGTTCCTCCTCAATTTGTCATTTTACTGTGCTCATTATGGGGATTTCCTAGCATCGTGGATTTCCTTAGGGGTCTTCAAAAAAAGAGTGTGAGGGAACTGTTTCCAGAAGTACCTCGACCATGTGGTAGTTTCCCAACATAGGGGGACCCCAATATAGACCCCAAATATTATAGTCGTCGTTATAGGGACCCCTAAAAAGGTACTCCGAATTTTTGGAACTACCCATGTAGGTGCTGGATGGGTCAAGGGATTTGCACCTAGTTGTGCTGCCCTTCACCGATGCCACGCGAGCACAAAGCCGGCAAGCACAAAGCCGGCAGCTGATACAAGCGATTGTGAACCACAGCATGCCCGAGATTGAATCCATTCTGCAGCGGCCACAGGACCCAGACCTTACTTCCAGCAGTGCCTTTCCTGAAACTGCTTTGCATGTCGCGCTGCAGCTTCGACGCTTTGATGTAGTGCAGCTACTTTTAGAGGCTCTCGCGGATGTGGACAAGCCTGACGGACGCGGCTCAAGCCCCCTGTTGAAGGCTGTTGACATTGACAACTTGGAAGTCGCGCGTGCCTTGTTGGCCGCTGGTGCCCACACAGATGCTGCCAACTTGAGAGGCGAGACGCCCCTTTTCAAAGCAGCTGCAAATGGACTTGCAGAGGCAGCGCTGCTTCTCGTGGAGGCCGGTGCGGACAAGGACAAACTAGCTGCCTGCGGAAGGAGCCCTCTCCACGTGGCTGTTTTGCGCGGCCATGCAGCAGCAGCCCGGGTGTTGCTGAAGGCACGTGCCAACCCCAACATTGCGGATCGACATGGGTGTACGCCCCTTCGGCTGGCAGCGGGGCTTGGCGAACTGGAAACCACCTTACTTCTTTTAGATCATCACGCTGATAAGGACACGGCTGACAGCGATGGTGTGACTCCACTCCTGACAGCTTGCCTCCTGGGGAATTTGGAGGTTGCCAGGGCCCTGGTACAGTCTGGTGCGAAGCTGGATCAGGCGAACAACCACGGAGAGACACCGCTGGCGGTGGCCCTGGCATATCGGAAGGCCCAGGTGGAAGGCGTGCGCTTGCTGACGGAAGCCTCCGCTGATGTGGACAAGGTTGGATGCTGTATTGCATTATGACAGCTAAGAGCAGCAGCAGCAGCAGCAGCAGCAGCAGCAGCAGCAGCAGCAGCAGCAGCAGCAGCAGCAAGGAGCACGTGTGTAAGGGGCGCAAGCAGTAAACATTGCGTGTTTGATCATGTTTGGATCATTAAGGATGATGTTGAGGAGGGGAGGAGAAACTTCTAGCTTTTGATGTTAGTGCTAGGGATGATGCTTGCGCTCAGTGAAGCACCACTTGGAGGTTCAAGGCAATTCTAACCTACTTACGCCCCCCCCCCCTTATGTATCCAAATAGGGTTATCAGTGGAGTCTAATTACAGTTATAAGTCTCATAACTCCTGTCATAGCTGCCCTAAACCTCCAAGAAGGTGACGGTAACAGCAGCCAGGCCGATTCTGTTGGGCGGACGCCTTTGCTGATCGCCTGCCTCCACGGCCACTTGCAAGTGGTCAGGCTTCTGGTGGACGCCGGAGCAGGGTTGCAAAAGGCCGAAGGGTTTAGGGTTTAGGGTTTAGGGTGAGGCCTGTACCCAAAATTCTTGAAGAGGTTTTGTTAATCAGAACCCTGGGGACCAAACAGATTATACGTGCCTGCTGTTCGAGCCACCAATACAGCTCAAGCCCACACGCACTCCTGTGGCCCAAAGCCTCAGACAAATTTCAATTTAAATCCTAGACCAAACTTAGACCATCCCCCCTCAACCCTACACCCTCAAAAATGTTGAGGCCAAGTTCAAGGGGGAGTCTGCTGATGACTGGATCCTGGGTTGTGCGCATCCTGAAATTGTGCGCCAGTTGTCGGAGGCAGGCACGCGCAAGAGTTTTAATTCTCCTGAGAACAAATATTCCCCAGAGAGGGCCATTACAGTTTAAGTGAATATCTATGTTTGTTCCATGGGCGTCGAGGGGGGTGGGGGTGATTATTAGGGGCACAAATACTCCCAAAACCTCATTCTAATGGGCTTAGGCTTTATTTACTCGTGGTTAGAAGGGCACACGGGAATATGATCCCTATAATCTCCATTCCCTTATTCCTTACTAACCCAGCATGTGCAAGGCAGTTGTCAACGGCAGCGTGGAAACTGTGCAGCTCCTCGTCCAAGCTGGTGCTGATCTGGACAAGCTGAACACTTTTGGGAAGACGCCTCTGTACATGGCTGCCATGTGTGGGCATCCAGCTACTGAGTGGTGGTTAGTAGGGAATAAGGGAATATATTGCAGAGGAATATGGGGAGTATATTCCCCCGAATTTCCTACTAACCACCGGTCAGGCTATTCTGGAGATTCTGCTGGAGGCACATGCCGACGTGAACAAGGTGGGCAACGATGGGCTCACACCCTTGCTGCTGGTGGCCAAACAAGGGGACCTACAGATGACGCAGCTTCTGCTGAGAGCAGCGGCGGATAAGGACAAGACCAACACGGAAGGCTCAACACCTCTTCTTTTGGCTTGCCTCGGTGGCAATTTGGAGGCATGCTTCCTAAAACCGTTTGGGTTGCGTTCAATTTGTTTGCTTAACGACTTCTTTTTGGACTTTTGACTGTCAGGGATGCCAGTGCAATGCTTTAATGCACCTAGTCCTCCTCCTCCTGCTACTTCTCCCCCCCTCTCCTGTTACCCTGAAAGCTCCTAGAGTTCTTGCTTCAGCTTGTGCGATTGCTACACAACGGCTGCTGCTGCTCATATAGTCCTGCTATTACTCCTCCTCCTCTTCGCATCTATGCTCCTCCTCCTCCTCCACAGCACACCATCACAGCCGCCGCTGCTGCTGCCGCCACCAAAACTGGTCCGGGCACGAATAACGCATGCACCTTGTCTTAGCCGATTCTTCCTCCCGCCCCCAAAAGCCCAATACTCCTTCATTGAGGAAAATGCCCTACACGATACCAGGATCCGTGAGCGATTCAAGTTGATGTTTTGCTCAGGATGTTCCATTCTCAATCCCCCTATATCATCTGGTTGTTCATGTTGTTGTCCTTGTTGTTCCACGGATTCTCCATTACTGGGTGTGTAACATGCTTAAACCCTACATAACCCATTTTTACACCCTACCTACCCTTCAACCGTCGTAAGCCCTAAGCCGGAATCAATGCGTTTTGGGGTTGCTGGGTCCCTGAGCTGGCCTTTGTTTGGTGAGCTGGGAATGAAGGAATGGATCCCTGTAGTAGTCCCTATGCGACCCATTATAGTAGTTTCCATTTTCTTCTCAATTCCCACGCTGAACCCTAAACCCTATATAACCCATTATACTAGTTTCCATGTTCTTTTCTTTTCCCACCCTAAACCCTAAACCCTAACCCCTGAATCCTAGTAGAAGTAGCTTGCATTTTCTTTTCCGATCCTGCATTCCCAGCTAACCAAAGGCCCCTGAGAGGTCGTCCGGGCTCTTGTGGCTGCAGGGGCTAACCTCAACCAGGCCACCCCTTGGGGTTTTAGGCTGATACTCTTAGGATTTAGGGCGTTTAGGGTTTAGGTAGGGTTTACGGTTGAGGGTTTAGGGTTTAAGGGGTTTCGGTTGGTGTTAGAGGAGCTATAGCCTAAACTCCTTGAGGGGAATGTATAGGGAATTATATAGGGGACTATTATAGGGGTCACTAAGGAAGGGGTGTGCGAGGATGTAAGACTATAGCACATTTAGGGCCTCAGGATTTAGTTTGTAAGGTCTAGGCATCAAGATGCCAATAGAAACCTTATGTAGCCGTCATATAACCCCGTATACGCCTCAAATATGTATATATATATATGTACCCTACAACCCTTTAAAGGTACCGCGAACAGAGTCTTCTCAAACGCTACGTGCCAGGCCGACAATCAAGGACGCACACCACTTCTGGCTGCACCTTACTGCTGGTTAGAAGAGACGAAGGGGATATAATCCCTGTATACACCCTATACAGTCTATCCACGCCATACATATACATATATATATATATAAATACCTCATTTCCAAACGCCCAGTAAGGCATGTTTGCATGGCTACACGGAAGTTGCGGGGCTCCTGCTGGACTTCGGCGCAACAATGTTGAAGGCACAGATTTGAGTTTCTGAACATACCATCGTGTAACACCACCACAAGAGGAGCCCTACAACGACAATTGTCATTTCATCCGGTTTAGGGCTTAGGGTCTAGGGTTTAAGGTTTGGGGTTTCCCTAAACCCTAAACCCTGGGTTTAGGGTTTAAGGTTGGAGTTTTCTGGGGTGCTATGTCAGTTCGGGAGGCTAGCTGTCAACAGGTTCCTGATGAACGGGTTGGGGATCTAGGGTTCAGGATTCGGTAATAGCAAGGATAGCAAAAATTCGAGTAGTATCAGTGGCAGTAATAACAATAGCAATGATAATAGTAATGGCTAATTTTTGCCATATCATTAATTAATAGCCAAAGTAATTGTCTCAGTAATAATAATAATAGTAATCATATAGTACCAAGTGTAATAGTAATACTAATAGTAATAGTTATAGTAATCACAATAATCGTGAAAATAATGACAGTAACAATGGCTAGTGCGATACTTACTTTTTCACCTTAAGCCCTTAACCTCAAACCCTGTTTGACACCTGAATCCAAAGTTTCAAACTGGGATCTGAATCGCAAGCGCCAAGCCCACGTCCTGCACCTGTCTTGCTACCATTAGTTACGATTATTTTTCTACTACTGCTACCACTAGTATTATTCCTAATCCTGAACCCCACTCCTACGACTATTGCTACTGTCATGATTGCTACTGTCACAATGACGACTAGTATTTCTATTATTTGTACTATTGATATTTTTATCGATATCATTTTTATCCTTTAGTTAGTATTCTTATTATTATTATCATTATTATTGTTAATTGCTCTTAATTGCTCTTATTATTCATTATCATTATTGTTACTTCAATTATGGCAAACAGGATCCACTGAGCGAGGAGGCCGCGCAGGTCATCGAAACGGCCAGAGCCATGAAGCGCCGCAGGTGAAAAGGGCTGCAGGGTCGCTGCAGATTTTGGGTATAGGGGTTTAGGGTTTAGGGTTTAGGGTTTAGGAGGGCTTAGGGTTTAGGGTTTAGGGTGTATGCCTACATGTATAAGAAGAATAATCATCAAAATCCCAGTCACTACGGTTGTGGGGAGTCCCCTTCTTTCCTTCTATACACACATGTACCTACACATTTATGGTTTTTTGTGATTCCAGATGAGCTATAGTCTAAGCTCCTTGGAAGGGGGTTTTTCGAGGATTATATAGGGGACTACTACGGGGGTGACTACGGGGGTGACTACGGGGGATACTAGGTATTTAGATTATAGCTCATATACGCAGATATGATATATTTCTTATTACAGGTACAACCCCCCCACATTCGGTTTAGGGCTGAGGATGGCGCTCTCCCTGCGGGTCTCCAAAATAATCATAGCGTCCAATTAGTGAAGCCCATCGTCCGGTTATCTCGCAAGGTGGATGAACAGCCAGCTGCTCCAGCGGGTGAGCTTGCATCGCTCTCAGACGCAGTGCATGGTTGCTTCCTAAACATAGCGAGGCTGTGCGATAGCATCTAGGGTTTGCTGGAAGTGCATTGCGGTTAACAGGGTTTAGGGGATAAGATAGACAACGTCTAGACTCCCAGACCCACCATTGTTAGACATGCGGGTTGCGTCGGCGGATTTTGATTACGTACCCTAATAATGGAACATCAAATGGAAAAGAAAACTATGGAACTCAAATGGCAACTGGGGTTTCAGAGGGTATATGGTAGTTTCCCAAAATAAGGGGACCCCAATATAGACCTCAATATACTATAGTCCTCATCATGGGAACCCCCAAAAAGGTACCCCTAATTTTGGGAAACCCCATATCACCTGACCAAGACCCAACTTGTTCTTCGCGGGGTAGACTGTTGGGTTTAGGGTTTAGGGTTTAGGGTGATATGTTACACCCTAAACCGATATGTTCTCGTCCCAAGTGCAGAATCTGGAGCTTCTGCGGGGTATTGGGATAATATAGGGTATATATTGGGGCTAGATAGGAATAATGAAAAAGAAAATGGAAACTATAGGGATTATAGGGGTTATGCAGGGATTATAGGGAACTTTATTGAGGTTATATAGGGGTAATGCAAAAGAAAATGAAAATTACCATAATGGGGTCATATGGGGTTGCAAGGGGCATGCGGCAACCAGCCAAAGTCTTCAAAATCAAGTCCTGCAGTCATTTAGCTTTGGCATGTTTTGGGACCCAAAGAGCACACACATTTTTGAATGCTGTAGGAAGGCCCCTAAACCGCAAACCCTGAACCCTAAACCTCATTGTGGAAGCCCGCCGAAGTTCTTTCGGCTGAAGCTTCCAGTGGAATCTACCACAAGTGCGGGATTTCTTCAATCATTGGGCCATTAAAGCCGTGAATATAACCCCTACATAAGCCCTAAATATTATGGTAGTTTCCATTCTATTTCCATTATCCCAAGTATAACCCCAATATAACCCCAATATAGCCCTAATATTACCCCAATAGGTACAAAACGCCCTAAATCGTTTTGAAAGGATTATCATATAACCCCAAGATAACCCTAATATTGCCCCAATAGGTACAAAAAGCCACAAATGGCTTTGAAGGGACTTTGGGGGTCTCCGCAAAGGGCTGTCCAGGGCTTTCGCGAAACTTCACCGCAACCTCGGTTTGATGAAGGCGAGCTTTAAAGAATCTCCAGAAATGTGGAGTTACCGTTGGGGATTTAGGGTTTAGGATTTAGGTTTTAGGGTTTAGGGTTTCGGGTTGGGCTGTATAGGGTTTAGGTTACGGTTGGGGTTGAATACGGCAGAATTCAGGATGCCAGGAGCGAAAAGTCTCAACCTGAGTAGACCGCAGCTTTCCCACAAAGGCCGGAACTACCCTCATTTGTCGATCACAATACTGAGAGTAGTGGTCGGGAACGCAGTGAATATCTACTACAGTACAACAAGACTGCAATAGCAACAGAGCAAGCAGACACAATCTTGTAGATATCATTTCATACATCAAGCCTCTATATACATTATATTTCCAATGATGACTTTCATGCTGATGGGCAGCTCTAGTCAAGATCACACTTTGTCGTATAGCTTAGTTGTGAACATCCGGAATTCTCCGGTCAATTTTAGATCTCCTTGTCGGCAGGGTGCTAGTCCTTTGCTGGTGAGACCCCAGAACCCCGAGCCTCAATTGCCCAGCTGATTAGCCCCTGGAACCTCACGCCTGAGCCCTAAAGCCATTATATAAGCCTTCAACCAACCCACTTTTACTACCTCGACCTCTCAAATACCACCCAAATGAGAGCATTTTTACGCGTTCTTTGGGTTTAAAGGCCATTACAATGTCTGTTTCGGAGGTCCACAGCCTACAGCCACAAGGTCTGGGTAAACCCAACACCCCAAAAGGTCCGGGTAAGCCCTATCATCAGAGGTCTCAAAAGGCTGGATGAAGGTACGTGTGCTAATATAGATTTCATTAACTATGCTTGGGCTTGTTTCCTATACCCCACACTCCTTGCCATCACTTGCAGCGCCTTTTGAGTCACTGACCCTCAACCCTAAACTCTACAATTCCTCAACCCGAATCCTAAAATCCCTAATCTTAAACCCTAAACGCCAAACCCTAAACCCTAATCCTGAACCAAACAGCTGTGCCCTAAACCCTGAACCCTAATCCTAAACCCAACAATTCTGCCCCAGAACTGGCTGGCCTCACTGAAATCCGCGAAGCGGACGCCAGCGCCAGCTGTTGAGGTTCCTGCAGCTCCAGGGCTTTAAAGGGGCTTATAGGGGTTTATAGTGGTTATATAGGGGTTATATAGGGATAATGGAAAAGAACATGGAAACCACTAGTTAGGGTTTCGATTTTGGGGTTTAGGGTTTGGGGTTTCAGGTTTAGAGGTTATGGGTTTAGGGTTTGGGGTGTAGAGGGGGTTTAGGGGTTTAAGGGGTTTAGGGTTTAGAGGTTATGGGTTTAGGGTTTGGGGTGTAGGGGGGTTTAGGGGTTTAGGGTTTAGGGGTTAAGGGTTGTAGGGTTTGAGGGTTAGGGGGTTTAGGCTTTTGGATCTAGGGCGAGTTTTGTTTGTGTTGCTGTTGGACGCAAGTTTCCGGTTTTTACTATACAAACTGCTTAAAAGGCAAAGGAATATCCAACGGTATCTTGTAGATCCAGCAGCTGTTTTCACAGTGCTAACCCCTCAAAAGAAATACCAAATGCTTTTGTTCAAGTAATATCCCAAGAAGAAACCAGCTTGAGAAGGGTAGGGTTTTGGACGCAGGGTTTCGGTGGAGTAGTATCAGCTAGCAACTACCATTTCCATTTTCTTACCATGAACCACCCCCGGGGCCGTGGCATAAACCCGAACCCGGAGCCTTCAACAGCCACCTTAGACCCAGAAGAAACTCAACTCCCCGACCTATTCTAGGCCATATCACAGACCCAAACCTAGACCCTTCAACCAAACCCACCATGACCCAATAGAAATTCAACCACCCAACTTACCCTTAAGAAAGCCACCTTAAGACCCATACATTATTATACTTGGGGGGTCAGGGGGACTTAGTAAGTAGGTTAATAATGGGGATAATTAAGGTTATTATATGGCTTATAGGAGTTATTAACTTACTTACTAAGTACCCATGACCCTCCAAGTAGTAGGCAACCTCAGACCCCTAAGGTGAGAAGATGGACATGGTTTTCTCTACTACAAGAACTATAATAAGAACAATCTTGAATATTGTTTAGAAGTAAGGTTGTAGCAAGCATTCCCTCATACGGCCAACAACGACGGACAACCACAACAACCACGACTACGACGACAACTACGACCAACAGGACCGATTGCGACAGTTGCCTGTGTTTTTGCTGTGAATGAAGGCCTTTCATGACATGTCTTTCGAAGCTGTTTCGACTCACGTGGGGCAGCTCTGGTGTTTCTTTACTGCCTCCTTCGCTATGGCGGATCGGGTGGCGCTTTGCATTCTATTTCTTGTGGGCTTGCTTCTTACCACTGCATTCGTGTTGATTGCCTTGATTCCTCTAT